TATACCTAATCATAAAATGGATACACCATCATTTCCAAATGACCAATTCATCCAAACCCTATTTTGTACTATTGAATTAGAGTTTTTGCAAATTCCATACGAACAAACCTTCTAAGCCTGTGTTGCTACTAATATTTCTCCACTTCAGTTATGGCACTCACGGCTCGGACAGACCTCAATCAGTAAACTCCATCCTCTTATCTCTCGTGGTTTATTAGGATCTATTCTGAATGAATCTTTGCATTGTGTGTCATGTCAATCTACAAAACAACCAACTTTATCGTTTACTAGTAGTCAATCTTTTTCTGCTACTTCTTTTATCTCATGCATTTTGATGTTTGGGATTTATCTTTGACACCTACCATGGGGGGTTCCAGTTATTTTATGTTATTTATTGATTATCATACTTGTTTACTTGAATATATCCTTTGAAAAATCGCTTTGTGTTACCACAAATTTATATTGATTTTGCTACCATGGTCAAAACCTAGTTCTCTAAAATTATCAAAGTTTTTTTGAGAACTAACAATGCCATGGAATATCTTAGTACTAAACTTGAATTCTTTTTTGAAAGAACAAGGTACACTGACACAACAATCTTGTCCTTATACTTCTGAACAAAATGGGTAAGCTAAACGTAAACACAGACATTTCCTTGATTTTGTTCGTGCTTTACTTATTTCGTCTTCTTATCTAAAGCGATTTTGGGGTGAAGATGCTCTTACAGCTGTTTATCTCATTAATTAGATTCCACATCGATCATCAATAATAAGTCTCCATACGAATGTTTGCGTGGTATTCCTTCTGCCTATGATCTTCTTAAGGTTTTTGGTTGTGTTTGTTTTGTTCTTCTTCCACCTCATGAACATAATAAGTTAAAGCTTAAAGCTCGATTATGTTGTTTTTTTTGGGTTGTGGGATTACACATAAAGGATATCACTGTTGGGATCTTGTATTGCAAAAACTTTGAGTCTCGTGTCATATTGTCTTTTGGGAGCACACTATGTTTTCTTCATTATCAAACTTTCAAGTGTCATCTTTTGATCAATCTCCACTTTTTACTAACCCTTCTATTGAGCTATTTCCTAGTGATTCTAATGTAGATACATTTGATGAGCTCCATGATGCCTCTCCATATGCTCCACCTAGTTTTATAGAAGATGTTCTGCTTGCTAATAATGCATTAGACAATGCTGAGTCTTCTTCCCTTACCTCTTCTGTATCACCTGTTAGATCTAACCATATTGATATTGAGCCTGAAAATGAGATCCTTAATCCATCTTCAAGTCATCCTACTCGAGTAAAAAGTCCTCCTAGCTATCTTCATAATTATCATTGCTTTCCTTCCTTACATGAGCCTCAATCCTACCAAGAGGCCTTTTCTAACCCTCTTTGGCAACAAACTATGCAAGATGAATTACAAGCTCTTGACAGAACTTGTACATGGGATTTAGTTGATCTTCCTACTAGAAAGCCTGTAATAGGCTGTAAATAGGTGTACAAGTTCCAAACTCAGTCGGATGGTTCCATGGAGTGTTACAACGCTCATTTGGTTGCTAAAGGATTTACTTAGGAATATGGGATTAATTATCAAGAAACCTTTGCACCTGTTGCTTGTCCTACTTTAATTCATAGTTTGATTGCTATTGCTGCTACAAAAAGATGGAAACTTTTTCAAATGGATGTGAAAAATGCCTTTCTAAATGGTGATCTTGTAGAGGAAATTTACATGAAACCACCTCCTGGACTTGAGCATCCTCCAAACAAAGTTTGCTGATTGAAGTGAGCTCTATATGGTTTGAAACAAGCACCTCAAGCCTGGTTTGCAAAGTTTAGTACCACCATTAGTGAATTTGGTTTTACTTCTAGTTCTCATGATACTACACTATTCATACGCAAGACTAATCATGGTATGGTTTTACTACTTCTTTATGTTGATGATATGATCATTACTAGGGATGATATTTAGGTATTCATGATCTTAAGTAATTTCTTAGTCATAAGTTTGAGATGAAAAGATCTTGGTGTTTTGAGCTATTTCTTGGGATTTGAGGTCTCCTTTTCTGATGATGGTTATCTTCTCTCCCAAACAAAAATGCTTCTGATCTTATATCTAAAATTGGACTCATTGACAATAAAACTGCATCTACTCTTCTTGAGCCCAATGTTCGACTTACATTCATGGATGGTTCTCCATTAATTGATCATACTCGCTATAGACAATTGGTTAGAAGTTTGATTTATCTCACTACAACACGACCTAACATAACTTGTGCAGTTTCTATTGTTAGCCAGTTTATGGCTACGCCTTGCTCCACTTACTATGCAGCAGTACTTTGCATTATTCGGTATATTAAAGGTCTTATGTTTCATGGACTTCACTTTTCTACTCATTCATCTCTTGAACTTTGTGTTTACTCTAACACTGATTAGGCTGGAGACTTTAATGATCATAAATCCACCACTGGATATTGTCTTTTTCTTAGTGATTCCTTAATCTCTTGGCATAGCGCGAAATAGGCAGTTCCACCACGTTCTAGCACAGAGGCTAAATATTGAGCCCTTGGAGATGCCACATCAGAGTTACTTAATTTATGTTGGCTACTAGAAGATATGGGTGTTTCTCAACTGCCTGCTACTAATCTTTATTGTGGCAATCAAAGTGCCATGCAGATTGCTCATAATTATGTCTTCCATAAACGCACTAAACACATTGAGGTTGACTGTCACTTTGTTTACCATCATGTTGCACAAGAAACTGTTCATTTGGTTTTTATTGGCTCCGTAGATCAACCAGTAGACCTTTTCACTAAGACTCATTTTCTTAGACGCGTTCGTACTCTTCTTTCCAAACTCAAGGTGGTTGTGATGAAACCGACTTGAGTTTGAGGGGGATATTAAGATATGAACACAATAATTTAGATTATATTCACACTTATTGTAAATATTTTATATTTTAGAATATTATCTTTATATACTTTATACCTTAAAATATTTTCTTTGTCAATACTTTATATTTTAGAATATTCTCTTTGTAAATACCTATATATAGGTCATTGTACATATAGCATTATTCAAGAAAACAATAAACCTTTCTTCAAATATTTCTCCTTCTTTTTCGATTTGTAACAAGAGCCAACACCATATATCAAGTTCTTAAGGAACATTTTAATAGTTATAATTTGAAGTTTTGTATTCAAAATCTTAAATTTAAATTCCATGATAAATCTGGTGGATTTAAAAATGAAAATATTATCTTATATAGAATAATTCATCATTAAAAAAAATGAAAATCATATATGCCAAAATGATACTACATTTAATCCTTGAAGTTTGCACCCTATAACGATTTAGTGTCATTGTCTTTCCCTTTATTAATTATATCTTATATCAACCGAGTCAATGTTCTCATTCATTCTCCCATTTTGCCAGCAACAAAACTTGCCTTAGTTAGAACCTCACTAGCTTGCTATTCATTTCTTTATATTGTTCAAAACTTATTTTGTTATCTTTATTCATGTATATTCTGCTTTCTTTCTCGTCTCCATCTTCATTTAATATACACAAATTTTTTATATTTGTAGAAAAGTTAGTTGTCATCAAACCATTAGATAGAATATTATTCCCTAATGTTAAAAGAATTTTTGTAATTTAATAATTAATATTTTACAATTAAAATTATAAAAAATACTTTTTTAATTTGTTTGTGGAAAAACTTCAGCTAAAACTGCCTTGAAACATCATTTCGCCGCGTAGGTAGAATGAATAAATATAAACGCTGACTGCTGGAAATATATATCTTTAACAAAAAGTCGTGTTGTTACCCAAATAAAAAACAAAATGTCGAGTCAGATCTAAGGTGGCATTTACTTGTAAATTTCACATGAATGTACACTGCCGTCTAAGACATTCACAAGTGTGATGAGGGACGTCAGCACTTGATTAATAAATTTTAATGTAGTTTTCAAGTATGATGATATGCCTCGACGGTGTTTGAGAAATGAAAATATATATTTATTTAAGAAGTCTTAGTATAGTGGTTAAGATAGAAGTTTTTATACTTAAAGTTTAAGTTTGATTCTTATCTTGTGCTAGTTGTTATTTAATTTTATGTTAATTTATAAAAAGTAAATAAATTTAATTGTATTTTGATGTATTAGATGTTGATTAGTTGATTGATTAATAAAACAAAAAAAGAAAAAAGAAAAAAGGAAAATGTCTTTGATTGTTGCATAGAATAATTAACTTTATGATGAAATAAGAAAAAGTAAAAATAATTAAATTTGTGCTAACAACTTAAGTTTTTCAATGATAATTTTTTTTTAATAAAAGTAACATGCAAATGAGATACATTACAATATGTAGAGATTGCTTCTTATTTTGTAATTCAAAATTTAAAAAAAATAATAAAAAGGCAAATTAATTTGTTTCAAGAGAAAGGTTACCGTCCGAGCCTCCAAGGTGCTTCCCATTTATAAATTTGTTTCCATAGATACCTCCTGATCAAGCTTGACAACATATGGAACCTGATTCAACTCCTTGAGCACAGATTTTGCACTCATTTAGTATTAAAATACATGGAAATGTACAAAAAGGGAAAATTAAAGGGAAGAAAAGAGAAGTAAGACAACTATTTCATTTTATTTCCATTTGAGAATCCTTAGGCTGACTGTGAATATGAAGGCATAGCTGACACCACTGACATCCAAAGGCTAAAAACAATTACTATATGGTCGCTATCTCTAACATCTTGAACTGAGATATCTGTAATGTAGTATTCAACAAATAGAAAAATGATATATCACAGACATGATAACTCTATAGAAGTTTCACACATGAGCATGACACCTTGCATAAGATGCAAAAATTTCTAATAAATCTATTTAGAACTGGGAGATATCACGTCACAAGTATCCCATAACACAAAATAATACACAGGTTTGATGAACAAGGTGTTGAATTTAACAAAATAATATTACTATATAACATCAAATTAATACACAAGTGTGATTGATCCAGTACCATCCTCTCTATATACAATTGAACTGGAACAAATACCAAAAATCCCTAAGAAAATTTCCTCCATCACTTGTCTATAAAAAAATTTATATGATATATAACTTTATAAATCATCATACGAATGAAGGGAGACCATAAATATCAATCAATTCAAACCATTTGAATGTTCAGATCTATTGCTACCCCCTCTTGATCCTCCTTAGGGTGATTCAAGTTGGAGGCATGTCCTAGTTAAAAAATGGATCTGTTGCTCCAGCTTAAGTTGATTCTTCAACTATCTTCTGCAAAGATCTTAAATGTGAAATCTCGGAAGCGTTTTGAGTATTGCTTTGGATCCACAGCTGATATGGATGTTGGGTCATAATGAATGGATTTGTACGCATGCTCAAGCTTCTTGGTGATATCATAGTCTTGAAGTATGTCTATGATGCCAAAGAAAATAATAACTTCATAATACTCTCCGGTTGGTTCTCCTACCAGCTGAAATTCACAGTCGGTTCTTCTCACAGTTCTTTCTGCATGTGCTGGCATGTTAATACCCAATTTTATACTAGACCACCTGCATTTTTTTATGCACATTGCAGTTAATGCCAAAACATAACATCTTGTCTAGTGTGATGTAACTACTCTTTTACATGTATACTTAAGCTCAAACATTTGGTTTGAAATGCAGTTCCAAGATGAGGACAATTACCTCTCAGGATTAAGAAGAAGCTGATCCATGTCTGCTCTAGTAATATGGGGGCTTGCCACATTATCAGTACTTCCTGAAGGTGAAGAAAAGTAGATACATTAAGCAAAGTGAGTTTGCAACATTGAGGCTTTAATTCAGCTCAATGGTATATGAAGGCTAAGAATTTACCAGATTGTGTATGTGGTGCACGGGGAACAATCTCCCCATTAGCTGATATTTCTCTAAAGTGAAGACCAATCAAAAGACTATAGTCCATAATTCTCTCCTGTTCAAGAAACTCACAGTCTCTATCTACTTGCCTGGGTGAAGCAGAACACACACATTTAAGAAGGTTGATGCAAGTAAATTAAAAGCAACATACATAGAAGCTTCATTGTAAGTAAACTTGAAATGCCATGTCAAATAAAGCATTGAAGTAGGAAAGGAAATGAAGGGATAAAGAAACTATATTTCACCTAGAAAACTCTTGAAACCATGTCTTCTGTAATCTGAATATGAAATTAAGATCAAGATCTTTAAGTATAGTGGTATCATCAATATCACACTCTGGCTTAACTGTTATCCGGCCAAGGGAAGACCCTTTCAAGTCAAAGCGCCTATGAATGGTGTATTCAGAACGTAAAAGGTTTCCCATTATGACAAACCGTACCTGGATCATCAAGTATTACTTGCTTTCTTCCAAAAACAGTAAAAATTTCTAAGAGGCATAGTTGGATTGCATAGCAGTGTTTGTTTATCTACCTTCTTCTGAGCTGCACCAGTCAGTTTTACACAATGCAGACCATAATACTTGATCACCAAAGTGTTCTCGAATGCCCGAACATGATTGTAGTAGGCTGAAAGCATTCTTAAGAGCACCTGTAGGAGAAAACCAGGAAATCTTCATTTTATAGCAACCAGCTATCAGTAAGTAAGTGTGAAAATACACAAACTTACTTTTACTTCTGCCTTCTTCATTGTCTTTATCATGTAACGATCGTCATTAGTTAAGTAAAAGAAGCTACCACTTTTACCAGGAGAGGATAGTTCCCGAAGAGCATCATTCCCACAGATAGATATCATATAATCAGCTGGATCTACCTTGAACAGCTTCCTCAAAGTCCTTAACAAATGATTGTATGGGGTTAATAGAATTTAAAAGTCCTGACTTCTACCAAGCTCAAAGTACTAAAAACCAAAACTGAATTTATTATCATCTTTACTCTAAAGTGCAGATAAATATAAGTGACTAGATCATTGATATTCAAAAAACTCTGACTCAATCTATCTAGCATGAAAAAGAATTCCATTTATAGGTGCTAAAAGCAATGATTCGTGATTTACTGCCTCACCTGAAAACTACAGGGCAATAATCCTTCCATTTAAATTCAATAGATTGGTGTGGTGGTGTGTATTTTGTTCCTTCAGGAGGAAATCTTGTCCATATTTTTTCCTTGGGATCAAAAGCTGAAGCCTTTAAATCAAGAGATGTAGCTGGAGCAGGTCTTCCAACTGAATGCCTATGTAACACCACTCCAGATAGTCATAATTAATAGAGAAATTCTATCACATACTAGCTAATTCAAGCTTACAAAGAATGGAATTCTAGATATTCTTATTTCAATTCAGAAAAATGTAGTTGCAGTGTGAAGAATGGTTACCTGATACCTAGCTGCAAATTGAGCATAAGATCATAATTCTTGTGTCCTTTGGAGATTGTTTCTCCTTGTCTCTTTCCTGGCTTCGGCATTCTCAAGGGCTTGCCAACATTAAACTTGGGGTTGTTATCATCATGATGCAAACCTAACATTTCACCATCCATATCCCTCCTCATAACACCAATTTCATTACTCTCCCCATCACTCCCCCACATACTCATTTTTTCAAATGCTCTCTCCACTCCCACGCTAACCCTGCCATCATCTGACATCCTCCTAGGCTTCTCCATTCCCTTTGTCGAATTCCAGACTGCTAGCTTCTTCTGTGATGGCAGGATTAAAACCTTCTCCAGTGGACAAACCCGGCAATCGACTAATTCAACATTATACACATCTTGAGGGCTCCATTCTAAGTTCCCACCTAGGGAGGACCCTGAGGAGGAAGGGTAATATGTTCCATTCTGTTCAGTAGGATCCTTACTCCAATTCCCCACATAGAAACCCCCATCTGGCCATTTGTATGTTCCATTCCCTTTTGGAACCCCATCTTCCCAATACCCATCATACCTATTCCCATTCCTCCACACAAATGTCCCCCTTCCATGAATTACCCCATTCTTCCATTCTCCACTATAATTATTCCCATCACTCCATTGATATTTCCCAATTCCTTCCTGCAACCCTCGCCGCCATTCCCCATCGTAGCTATCCCCATTAGTATAATTCTTCGCACCTTGTCCATGTTTCAAGTTCATCACCCATTGACCCTTATAACTATCCCCAGATGGTCCTGTGTAGGTGCCTGTTCCATCCATGTACCCACTCTTAAATTCCCCCTCATAGGTAGCGCCAGACGGCCAAGTGAACCGCCCTTTCCCCATTGTCTTCCCCTTATACCACTCTCCAATGTACATACAGCCATCCGTCCAAAGGTACTTCCCATGTCCATTGGGGAAATTATCATACCACTGCCCTGTATAGTAATCCCCATTTGGCAAAATTTTCTCCGCATGGTACGGCTCCCCAGTGCTGCCCACGATTTTCTCATCAACATCATTGTCGTCGTCGGCATGTGCCACTGATATCGTTGCGAAAATGTTGTTGGCACGCTTTTTGGCCGCTTGGGTTTTCCTCACCGTGGCCTCCCACGCCCTCACCATGCTGCTATGTTCCTTGCTCATTATCCTCTACAATGCAATTCCCCTACAATGCAATTCCTCTCCAAATCAGCATACTCAGAGAAATCATGATTCCCCAGATGAGAAAAACCACTAAATTGAATCAATCATGAGTACCCAAATGAAGAAAACAATGAAAAAAACCAATCTTCAATTTACTTTCTCTATGACTTCTTGCTTTATTTTCCCTAAAAACAAAAGGAAAATCAAAGACTCCCTGTTTTTTGTCTGATTCCTCCCCAACAACAAACTAACATTCAAATTAGTGTCAATAATTTTCTTTTCTCTTTTTCTTTTTTGAGTTTTATGAAGCGATGTTTATGGTTCCAAATTCAGACCGAAGAATTAGGATGAAACATTAAAATTAGATTTATTTATGAAAATGTTGGTTTGACATGCAAGCAATAAGGACGATTTTCTCTCAAAATTTCTTGTGATTTTGTGGAGATTCAAAGGGAGACTTGTTCATTTCCGACTACAATGTCCAAGTTCCCTAACAATTGGAGGGACACCATTGGTTCCTTTAATTACTATCTTTAGCCTTCATCTCAAAAATAGATGAACTCCATCTAGTTTTTAGCAGTCCAAATGTTCTCGAGCCATTACTTTAGCAGTCAAGATAAGAGGAATTCATGAGGAAGTAGATCAACTATTAGTTAATGAAGATGGGATGACAAATATGTCACAATTCCTTAGGTGTTCTTAAATATGAATAAGAAGTGCAAAAAGATAAAATATGAAGTGCTTGTAGTAATAAGAATATAAAAGAAGATGGGAATCTCCATATCATCAATATGCATATATATATACATATGTATATATATATATATTTTTTTATGGTAGAAATCAATATGTATTTTCTATGGAGTCATTATGATATGTGGCTGAGTAGAATATGTACATTGATCAAATCTTCTGAAGTTTTGCAAGGAGGAAGACGGTGGCAGAGGTGATGGCCGGAATGAATAAGTCGTTAGGGATCGTCTTTGGTCCGAAGCGTTGCTTGATCAGCAACGCAGTCATCGGAATTCCAAAAATGTATGTGAGCATGTCCTTTGCTCCAAACCCTGCACTAAATCCACTCTCCACAACCACTTCTTGCAGAACCTCTTCAAACATCTCCTTTGTGAACATCAGTTTCTCGTCTGTGACTTTTTCCGTGGATTTGTCTTTGGCGACTTCGTCTGTGACTTTTTCTGCGACTTTGTGATCCGTGGCGACTTCCTCTCCGACTTTTTCTGTGGCTTTATCTGTGGCGACTTCCTCTTTGACTTTTTCTGTGACATTTTTTAAGGCGTCTTGGTGTTTCTGCAACCAAAATATTCACCTAACATATTTTAATTTCTATTCTCTTCCCCTTCCTTTCCTTTCTAAGCTCAAACTGACACAAACCGGTAACAAGTCTCATGATTTAGGCTTGGTAAATGCTGTGTTGTATACACTAACTATAAGTTTTTTTACTTTTTATTATTTTAAAAATATATAAAATATTAATTAAAATCAAGGCTAAAATAGTAAGGACATGGATTTGTATCAACGTTGCAATTAAGGTTCTAAAATTTTATTACACTCAATTAAGATTTTAAAGTTATTGAAATTTTAAACTAATGTCCTAATTGGACAGAAACAGTTAGATATGTTAAGTAAGTTGCTAATAACATTAAATTTAATTGGTTAAATAATAAAAATAATCTCTAAATTTTTAATCTTAACTCTAAAAAACCCTAAAACTTTCAAAAACTTCAAAAACTCTTCTTCTTCTTTTTTTTTTTTTATAATTTTTTTGCCTACGAAAAAATTTTGTGGAATCCACAACTAAAAATTAATGTGGGGTTAAAGCCAATTGTCATCCTTGTACTTTGAAATTTTATTCGTTCTCATCCCTCTACTAAAAATTTGTTCATTGTCGTTCCTTTACTTCCTAAACACTAATCAATGTCATCCCTCTACTTATCTTTTTCCATTAAATGTCGTCCTTATTTGGACGCCATTGTTTGAGCTGTTTATTTTGACCATTATATGCCGTTAGTCAACTATTAACACAATTCTTTATGTTTTTTTTTCACTCGTTCTAACTTAGTGGGGACCACATGTACTTTCCTTTTCATCATTTTCCACTCCAGTTCCTCAAACTCATCCTTTTTTTTTTTTTCTTTTTTTGCAGAAACCTAATGCCCAGCCCTAGATTAAATGAAATTAGCAATTTCCAACCCACTTTGTAGATTGTTGAGATATATTTTTACTTTTAAAGGAAAAATATAACTAAAAACTTATTATTAAAAATAAATAATAAAATAGTTTATTATTTTATAATTTAAACTGTATTAAATTAAAGAGTTTATATTTTGTAATTTAGTATAATATAAATTAAAAAAAACACTTTCAATAGTAAAATACCACATAATATTTTGACTTTAATAAGTTGTATTAAATAATAATATCATTAAGCAATTTGTAAAGTGTATACTACTTTCTTTATTATTCTTAAGATATCGCTTTATATATTATATAAATTTATAAAGTTAAAATATAACAAATTATTATTTTTTGATAAATGACATGATAAATCACTCAAATATAGTATTGAAGTCTCAATTAGTTTTTTAAAATACTATCAAAATCTATTGTATTTTTTCAAAAAGAAAACTTATTCAAAAAATGTTGTTAAATAAAATAATCTTACACTTAAATACAAAAAGAAAATTTAGTTTTATCAACAAAAAGGTAGTTTGTGAGATAAAAGTCAAGGGTAAAAATGAACTTTGATGGTGGAGTTGGAGAAATACGCAAGCAAAAGATTATAGTAACTAAGAAAGGCATGAATTAAGAAAAAATAAAGGGTATATAAGGTATTCAATTTTGATAAGCTGATAAAAATTAAAAAAGACTCCACAATTTTTTGACATTGAAGTGACTTGGGATACAAAAGTAAGGGTAAGAAAAGAAATAAACCTATAGTAGAATTTGTGATTTGTGAGATAATAAAATAGGAGAGGGAAAGGAAGAAAAAGTAAATGATGAAAGAGATAGGAAAGAGAGACCAAATAAGTGAGAGATAGGAAGAAAAAGTGAGTAAATATTTAATTAGTTGAATTATGAGTTTTTTTTTCTTATTTTTTTTATAGGGCAGGATGAAGCTAAAAATAATTTGTCTTGATTTTGAAAGAGTGAAGTATGCCATTACCTTTTTTTTCTATGATACTCTTTTCTTGCCCATAAATTTCAAATTACATTTTTGTATTGTGAAAATTTAATTTGATTGTTCATTTGGACTTAACACATTTTTGTTATATTATGTTAAGTTGTTTTTTTCTTTCCTTTTGTTTTTTGGTTTGAACTTTGCAGTGCTATTTTGTGGTGTTAGCTACATGCTAACCTTTTTTTATTGGTGAAAAGCTATTACGTCACTTCCTACTATTTTGATAGTTAAAATTTGAAGGAATTTGGGTGTAGGGTTTCTTCAAAGCATTCAGGGAACATGTTGAGAGATAGATGAAAAGGACAATCATTTTTATTTGATTGGGTGGCAACACATGTGGAAAGGTGGTTCCAACTAGTTAGCATAGGTGGAAAAAATTGTTAAACAAATGCATTAACTAATGACCATTTAGGAATTAACGATCAGTAGTGATGGCAACATGAACAACGTTAGGAAAAGGATGACAATGAACCAAAAAGGAGGAGTAGAGGGATGACGTTTGGCTCTTTGGTAGAGTAGAGGGATGACAATGAACAAATCCTTAGTAGAAGGATGAGAACGAATAAAATTTCAAAGTATAGGGACGACAATTGGCTTTAAACCATTAATGTGGCATGTATGTAGATCTCAATTTATTATTATTTTTTCATGAATGGATTTACTAGGCAAATATGTGGGACCCACCAAAAAAATTTGTTATGGCAAAAAATCAAAAAATTTGTTAATGATTAATTAACTTTTTAATGAATTATTAAAGGATAATTAGTAATTTATTTCAAATAATTAAAATTGATTTGTGATTATAAGTCCCACAAAAATTTCTATATCAACAAAAAAAATAATTTAAAAAGCTTTTTAAGATTATGAAAAGTTAGGGTTATTGACCGTGGAAATTAAAAGTTTATAGACATTTTTTTAATTTAACCAATTAGATTTAATGGTATTAGTAAATGATTTAATGGAGCTAACAGTTTTTGTCTAATTGCAATCTTATTTAAGAATTTTGACAACTTTAAGATCTCAATTGAGCACAATAAAACTTAAAATCTTAATTGAAAATTTAATATAAGTTTAGGACCTTATGCATTACTTTAGCTTAAAACTAATAAAAATATAAAAAA